AGTATATATATATATATATATATATATATATATATATATACATACATACATATATATATATATATAATATATGTATATAGATGTATATATTTTTCATATATGTATGTGTGTGTGTATGTGTGTGTGTGTATTATGGAAGCGCCGAAGATACTCGCACGAGATTTTCGAAACTCTTAAACGTATGCGGGAAAACGAGACGTACGCATTAGACTCGCGTGGAAAAATTTCAGTTTCCTCTCATCCATTGAACGTCGTGTCCATTTTCGTATTTTCGAGGATCTTTCCGGCAATTTTTCCGATCGACCCGGCGTCGAGTTTAAGTAATAAAGCTACATGTGCTTCCGGCGATTTTGCTATCGAGGGATCTATCGTGATAAGATGCAGAAGACGAGTGTCCTGTTTGGCGATAAGTCTTGTTCCGTTAAAGATATAAATGCCGCGTGAAATTTTCATACCGCGGGAATAATCGTGCGAAAAATACGAAAGATGGGAACGAAGGTGAATTTCTCTATTTTTTTAGGCCCTCGTGCGTCCTCGCGTGAACGTCGACATCGAGCTTTGTACATTACCTTCGAGATCCGCGACTTCGAAAACGCCGGGATCACACTTTCATCGCGAATGTCGAAAGCCTAAGATAGAATCGTATCCCCTATTAAAGTGCCTCTCGTACGTTTCGGAAGTGATCGTTCCGCTAAACGTATCCTTTCCTAGACCCGGCAAAATTAATACAGTCCTTACATCTCTGTATACTAAAAAATAATCGAACAGTCATGAGAATGTCAATGGTACGTAAAAAAATATCCAAATACGCGCCGTCGAAATGAGATATCATTAAAGGTACGAAACGTACGAAGGGCGAAGTTTTTACCTTATTCTAGCATCGTGGTACGTCAGCTAGGTGATCATATGTTATGCGATATATCCGCTAAAAGATTTTATATACACGCAGTATAGTTACGGAGTTGCGTCACATTTATCGTACAGATAGATAATATTAACCTGGATGTATTTCAAATTGCGTACTCGACTAAACAATTCCTATATTTATCCTAATCGCTAGAAGATTAACTAAGGAGCTTAACTGTAATTCTGCCTTACCACGCATCTTACTTTGCTTACTAACTTACTTATACACTTAAAGAGTACTTAAAATTAATTTCTCGTAGGCATATATACCTATTCATTAAATTCTTATACTTACGTCGCGGTCATACATCAATCAACATCATCGTAGAAAAGAAAGTAGTAGTAATAGTAATAGTAGTAGTAATAGTAGTAATAATAGTATCAATAATAATCGTAAATTACGGGCGCGAAAGGATCCGCACTAATATAATTGGTTAAAAATTGGTCTATGGGCCTATATTTCGCGAGCGATAACGCTTATACAATCATTCAATGAAACAATATACTCGCACAAAAAGAGAAATAACACAAAAATACAACGCACATAATATATAGACGCGTGTAAACAAAAGAAAAGAAGTAAAAGGAAAACAAAACTTTTGCAGCTCTTTTCTCTTCGCCGGTCGATCGATCGTTCCGACCATTTTCCGTAAGCGATCGCTCCTCTTCTCGAAAGGCACGAGAACTTCCAAGCCTCTTAGTCTCGTATTCTCAAGCTACAAGAAATCCGTATGTCGCGTAGAAAAAACTCAATATATCAATATATCATATGCGGCAAGATTGAGAGTAAAGTCGCGAGGAGAATCGCAAGACGGCTCGACATAGAAAATCGGTCCGTCTCAATTCTCCCTCGATCCTTACGATTATTAGCGTCGATCGATACTGATTGTTGATCCAATATAGAGATCGGTTGTGGTCGGCGACGCAACGGGAATGACGGCTGGGAGAAGCCGTAGCTTTACTAAATAAGAACGGCATCCCCAGTCGCCGTGTCGCATTGACGAGTATAAGTTAGAGAAGACGAGCGATCGTGGACTGCTTTCGGTCTACCAGATGTACCGACCGGCGCCATTACTTTTATATCACGCACATTACGTCTACGAAGGAACAAAACGTCTGGGTACTCTCCGGGGATATTTGGCACAGATTAAACGGAATTTTCAACTCGCGACAAATCTCGGTAGCACACGAGAACACAGAAGAAAGGAGTCAGAAGCGCGCATGTCGCATCGGGGCCCAACCCGCAGATTCCGCTTTAACGTTCCACCGCGTTTTTTTTTCTATCATGTCAAATACTTAACATCGCGTGATTTGATGTACTTTTGATTAATATCTTGTTGTTCGATAATTTCACTTTCTTCTAGTCGCTTCGCGCTTATCCAGTGGTAACCCCGTAATAAGTATCGAAAGAACATATATACGCGTCATCATTAATATTTTAATATTTTTTCCTCGCGTCGTCATCTCGTATTTTCTTAATTTCCATAACAATGTAAAAAAAGAACGTAAATATGTATATTTTATACTCTTTACAAATAATATATATGTATGTAATATTGTATATATGTATATTATACAGCATATGCAGCCTTAAATACTAGAAATATTATTGTGGTAGTTATTCCCTTAAGTCTAAAAATGTTCTACCTACTAAAACGGAAGGAGAAACGTCCACTTCGAGCCTCGCGATTTTTTCACGAAGGAAGAAGACTTTCCTCCAGAGAAGGGAAGGAGGGATTAGAGGGACTCTTCGAGATTCAAAGCGATCTCGTAACGATCGTCAGAAATGATGAGGAATCGTTAGTATTTACATGAGATAAAACGCGATAACGACGTTTCGTCTTGGCGACCCGGCAATGAGGATCCTTTCGTTAAGCTTCGGGCTTAGCTCTGCCTTCACCTATAAACTATATCCGTGATTTAAAATCACTTTGTCCTCTCTATCTAAAAATTTTTCGCATGCAGTTATCCTTGTTAGCAGTCATATCAAGGTGAAGGCGAACGAAGCGCGCCAGTAGGAACATACATAAAATCTCATGATACTCGATCGCGATAATCCGACCGAATATCGTTTCTCTCGTTTCTGCGAGCGCTGACCGCTCTCATTCTCTTGAGTCGATTGAAAAGGATTCCTCATTTTCGAATGATAAGCCATGATGACGTCGGACATGGAGGCGAGTGCATCATCGCTCTGAATGTATCATTCAGTGTGCGGGACGCGGAGTGCTGTTGGATCACGAATGCTTCACCACGATCACGCCGGGCCGCTGCTGGGTCTGCTGTTGCGTATGAAATTGGAGATAATGTTCGGCGTGTAGTATCCGTTGTTTTGCGGATGTTGCCGTGGCAGACGTCGAGGATGAAGAAGAGGAAGCGGACGTGGTGGTTGCAGACTTCGTCGACGTTGAGTTTGTCGCTGTTTGCTGTTGCTGCTGCTGTTGTTGCTTGTTGGTTAATGCTAGCGGCACGTCCTGCGCGGGTTCATCGCTGAATAAATGGTCACCTTCCAGGTGACGTATCGCCTCGACGATCGTTTCCAGATTTTGTCGGGATGTGTTCGCGATGTATAGCCTAGCCTGCGTACTATCATCCAGCGAATTCGATGGAGAGGGCAACCTGCAGTCAACAAATTTCTCGTTAATGTATAGATTTCTAGAGTTTCACATATCGAAATCTCCTGTGAGAAATTACATCTATACGCTTATTCGTATTACTTGTGTGTAACATAACTGTTGTCATATTAAACAAATTAGATATATAAAGCTTAAATGAAAATCTAAACTAAATGTCACATTTAAAGCGGATCAATTATTGACTTTGAAATCAAAATACATTTATTCTTTATGTCTTTACCGAACAGAGTGTGTATAAATAATGATCATATTTAAGATGAAATATCCATACGCATATCGCGCATACCTTTCCACCTCAACTTTTGGTTCTGCTTTCATCGCCGCCTCTAGAACACTGGGTAATCGTTGAGGCTCGGCAGCCGGTGAAAAGGGCCTACTGGGACTCGCGGTGATGTACTGAGGCGAGCCAGTCTTGAAATCTGCGGAGGACGATGTGGCGTACGTGACGCGACTCGACGATGAGAACGAGTCCGCGGTAGTCGGCTCTTCTATCGCCGTGAACACCTGATTCTGTGCGAAGGCGACAATCTTGGGCGTACTCGCGCGTGACTCCTCCTCTTTGATCTCTTCCGGCACAATGTCGGCCGGTTGTGGCGACAAAGGCGGTGAGCTCGGGTCCGGGCTAGACGTCTCTACGGTCTGAGTAGAGCCTACTGGTGGCAGAGACATGACTGATACCACCTGAAGCGCAGCCACCGCTTCCTCCGTTTCCTGCGCCATCACATTATCCGTGTGCTCGATCACCTAGGACAGTAGTGATTCTCGTTAGCGTTAATTTTTTATTATCGTACTTGCGAAACTTGTCTTCGCAATTCGTCCATTCACAATGGAGGCCAGATCGATCGTCGTGCATGAAACCCCGTCAGAGGAAAAAGAGAAAAAAGAAGAGAAGGAAATTGATTCAATAGAAATAATAAAACGGCAAACATATACAACGTTGCAGCGATCTGTTATCAGACGTAGCTATCTATACGAGCAATTAAAACAATGTTTACAATATCTTTCGCCCGGTGAACATTTAAATACTCGAGGGTCGAACGGGTTCACGGTTGAATTATTTTATCCGTATCGTGCAGATAGCGGATCTCTCGGCAATCGAAATTGTTCAAACGTGTTTTCGTAGACCATGATATTTCAGTTAAGGTCTCTACATCGCGTTTTTTTTTTCTAAAGTTTCCTATAGTCACGTTCGTGTTGCTTGATCCAGTACGTGCGTCATTCATTCTTCGTGTCCTTTTTTTTATCGATTTTATCGATTAATCTGTTTGTACACAGTATTACTTGCTTTTATTTTGCTCCTCTCAAAGATTAATAAAAGCGATGCAGAGTGAGAAACGTTACCTCGTGGGGCTGATAAGCGATTAGCTGATTGTCCCGGAATCTCTCTGGATACATCTGATTCTGAATTGCTCTCATCTGTTTCTCTACATGCAGTCTCGCGTGACGCTCCCTTTCTAGCTGTCGCCTGAGTTCCACCACCTCGCTGTTCACAACGGAATGTCCCTCTGTGGTTACCGTGATTACCGACAACGGCTCGGGGGACATGCTGCCTAAGCCCTCATCGCCACTTTCGTTGACGTGCATTGGTAGACTAACGACGACACCTGAGAGGCAAAAAAGAAAAATCAACATAAGAAAGAAATCAAATTAAAATATCTATCGGTAAAAAGAAATAAATCGGGAGTCAGTATTTAACAATAAAATTTAACAATAAGATCAGAATGAAATCGAAATCGTCAGAAATTTCTTTTCTCATCCATCCATAAGTGATTTACAAATGTTTTCTCCCTTTCAACATCGCGACATTTACATGGAGCCATGCGTCAAGTAAACATCTGTATTGTAAAAAACAATTTTCACAGTAAAAACGATTCGACGTTTTTGCAAAACTAATTTATGAGAAAGACCCATAAAATCGAGTTACAGGAGAGTCGGCGAATAACCGCAATGAACTTTCGGAACGTATTTCAGATTTCCGGCGAACATGCAGCGTACCAACGGATACAACACGTCCGCGCGATATAAATGAATGCGAGACCATGAGCGAAATTAAATCTGGTCACTGTTTACGATATAGAGCAAATATAGAGACCATTACACTTCGCGCGGATCAAAGGCCAGCCCATTTGTTTCGATGTTATATGAAAGCAAAGTGAATGTAACGTTCCTGTATGTCACTTCATTTATAAATTGTTTGAAATCGCAGAACGTTATGGTGAATTATGGCGCGGTAACGGTGCGTCATTCTTGTAAATTTCCAATCAATTTACGACATTTATTAACGCGATTTTTATCGATATGATCATGATTATCGGCTATTGTTATCACTTCACGCCACTGTGAATGTCATATTTTCACTTTTATTTTAATCTGATACAGATTTAGAAGTGATGCGCTCTTTATATTACTTACAATTTGTTACGCGGTTTTGTTAGGAATTATTTAAACGTGAATCTCTTGCCTTACAACAATGTTTACGTAGTTTTTATTTTATCTACGGTTCTAATTTGCTCGTAATTATTCAAACAAAATGTAAGATATAGTAATAAAAATATATCTTCTTTTTCATACGTTCATACGTTTTAATTTTTTTTTCTTAAAACCTACTTGAAATTACCAAGATTTCGAATTAGCTCTTCCCTGTAGATTCGATTATAAAATGTTATTCCATCGAGCGAATAATTATTGTAAATGTTAGGACTAATATTTGAAAGCAATCGGCAGGGTTAACCGCGATTGATCGATAAAAGTGGTTCGTCGGCATTAAATCCGCTTCGTCGCACAGCCGACGACGAACTTTCTGAATATCGCCGTGCTATCGAACGGAGGAAACTAATTTACGATAGAACCGGAAATTGAAATTGTCTCGGCCGAAGTTCGCGACAGATACTTTCCGATACACCACCGCGACAGCGATGGCGACGACGACGGCGACGACGACGACGTCACCGAAACGCCACCGGCATCGAAATAGGAGAGCACCCTTAATTCGCCCCTTGTATTTAGCCCTCCAAGTAATAAAGACTTTTGAGGATCCCGACGCTACCGTTGTCTATCGACTCGTTTCTCTAAACTCGATATAATCCAAAAGTTTAATAATCCGCTGGATCGACTTCTCAACATCAACAATGCAATGTGCGACGACATATCGCGGATGTAACAATTATTTATACGAAGACAAAAAGTTTTAATATCGCTTGAAAATCCTGAATATCTAAATATCAAGATTTTTTCCCATTTTATTTCACTTTTCGATGATGGAATATTAATACTTTTAAGAGATTCTCCTTTCATAAAATTGGGTTTCACAAATCAAATTAAATTTCATGGAAATTTTTCATCCGCAATCTATATATAAGCGATAACCAGGACCTCGTTATTCCATTAAGCTTCCCTCCTGAAATATCCTGTACATCCCTTCGGCGTGATACCGAGTCGCGAAGAATGTAATTACTTTCGCGAAAATGACGAACGGCTCCCTCAAAATGCGTCCGCCTTGACCACGTTGTCGACATGAGATTAAAAAATTCCTGCTTGCAAAATTCACCGCTCCTGCCGCGAAGTATAGTCACCGGTGTATTGATTCGGTGATTACGTATAAATAAATAAAAAAAAAGGGGGGGGGTGAAGCTGCCAGATTTTGCGTATGCATTGCGGCAATGCGTCCGAATTCATTATAAAAATGAAAATCTATGAAGTTATGTTTATTTGAAAATACGACGCTATTTACTTGCTATTGGATGAAAATTTCGGAGATATAACAATTCAATTTCGCGATTGAGAAATAAGTTATGATAGGAACTTCGACGTTGCACTGTATAGAAATGGGAAAAGCGTGAAATAAGCGGATTGCGATGTATATTCGCGCAACTTTTCGCGCTTTGCACCGATTGTTTCCGCTTTTTGCTTTTATGATTCTAAATCCGCACGGGATTTCAATCGCGGTCGCACGAGCGATAAATAATTCAAGCCCATTTGGAAAATCTCGTTATGCGTCGAACGTATGCGATGAACGTAAATTCCATTGCTTTTTATGTATACAAATGTTTGCGCGCGAGTAATGACCGCAATGATATTTTATTGACACATTTTTATATTATCGTATATTATATTTTTATATTATCGTCACATTTTTTCGGTATGTTTCATTTGCAACACTCACATACAACTGATTTTTCCATGGAAAGCTTCTCTAAAATATTTTTAATTCATTAAAAAAAAAAAAATAGTGTTTCTTTATAAGAATAATATAAAATAAAATATTTTTATTTTTTGTAAATAACGATAAATTAATTTCACAATTACCTTGGGTGTCGGGTTTGCGCTTCTTGATAGGTACATCGCCACCTTCGTGTTGATTTACCAATCGCTTTAATTGGCAATTTTGTGACAACAGTTGTGTCTTCTCTTGCTCTAACTGGTATATGTATTCGGCAGTCTGTTGAAGTATCGCAGCCTATAACAAAAATAAAAACTTATTTTTCTTCTCCCACAGTAATACCTTTCTTCAGTCCTTACGACCTTTCGTGACCAAAATTCGCGTGCAAATAAATCATCAGAAATTTATCTTTGCCGAAGCGAAAATTGCGAAATATACCGCTGATAAAAAGGCATTCGAAAATTAATAAAAATTGTCAAAAACACCCGAGAACGGGGACTCGCATCCCCACGATAAATCCAGAGGGATCGACGTTTCGCCGCAGGTGCCCCCTACGCATCACATGCAACCTGCACCGGAGGACCACCGACGGAGGAAAGAGAAGAGAAACGGAGACTTCCTGTTTACCGTGCCACGAGCTTAAAGAGTTTTACGTGGTCAGGGTGGAAAAGAAGGGGACCACACCGCACGAGCTGATAACATCCGGCGCGGACTATCGCGTGTCGTGCGTACTACGTCGTAGTAAAACGGGAATGACTTCGAGGAAAAAGCCGGCAAAAACAAAAGGGCCGATTGATACCAATTGCGCGGGGTAACGGGGCCGGGTGTACGGTTCGCATCTGCCGACAGGTGGTTAACGAACAGATGCCCCGCGTACGGTGCGATCGTAAATGCACGAGTGATGCCTGCCGCCGCCTCGTTCTTTCTTCGAGCAGCCGGTCCCTTCGCGTCACGTTCTTACATTGAAGAGAAAAAAAAGAATGGAAAAGAACGTGCTCGATTAGCCCCCTCGAAGACGTTCCTTTTCGACGCTAATTGGACGCCAGCCTCAAGCGATACGAACAATTGATACGCGTAACTTTCGCAATCTTCTGTTATTTACGTAATTTTGTATAATACATCTCGCAGAGAAAATACTTCCTAAGAAGTCCTTTTAAAGAAGATAAAAATAATAGTAATGGGCAAAATGTGAAATAGTTTGATTTAAAAAATTAAAACTCCGTCTATTTCGATTAATGTTACTTAGAAATAATAAAATGATATTTTAGACTACATCCTACATTCTTGAAAAAGATATGTAAAAAATTTAATTATTTTTTTTTCATACGATTGTTTGTTTCGCTTTGTTTGATGGAGTAATTGAAAACGCGGAGATCGTATATTTTAATAATTTGTCAACACACATACGTACAATAAAATTACATAAATTAATGTGTTATAATTTTTTTATACCAACTTCTAAAATGGAAATTATAATAATATGCATTTTGATTAATAGTTATTTAAATAAATCAAGAAGAAAAGGTTATCATAAAATATGACATATCCAGACAGATCTTTACATCTTTATTAAAGTTTCCTCATTTTATCCGCTTGAATATGCAAGTAGTCACAAACAATGAAAACGAATATGCAAATGCAGATGGAACGAATAATAGTCATTAAATAAAACATCACAAATAAGTTAATTTGAGGTCGTGCTCATTTCCATAAGAATGCATAAAACGAAAATTAATAATGATAATTTCAGATAGTATATAAATGAACGCGATATGGAAAAGTCGCAAATCTTGAGTAATTTCATCATGAAGGTGAATAATATAACTTTTAATATTAATTATTTAAATTTATCAAAATAATTTCAAAAATGATATTTTATTTCCAACGAATATAATTAGATAAATTAGATAAATTATATGTAAGAAATTTTTTAAAGAAAATATTATCATTTTATAAAATATTTATCATATTTGTTATTTTTTTTTAAACAAGAAATCTAAGCAATTTAATTTTTTTTGTCTTGTGCTCCTAATAATTGGCATAATTTTTAATGTGTATTCCCTTGAGATTATCCGAATTTACATAGTTCATTCATATTTAATATACTTATTCATTTTTTTTTTAAATAAGGCTAGTCCAATGTCATTTACGTGAAGAAACAAAAAAAAAAATTCTCGCGAACGGAAATTTCAAAACGCAGAAAAGCAATAGAGATCACAGAATTACACCTATAATTAAATCTCATAATTCTAATTCCAAAAAACAATTTTAGTATAATAAAGACTCGCGTTGATGATGATGAAAAGGACAATTAATGGAGTTCATTTACATTCGCAATAGAAGAATTGCTCAATGCAGTTCCTCAAGTTAAGTCACGGAAGGTCGAGAGCGTCACGGCCAACTTTTGCTTTCTTAGGAGCGGAATAAAAAGAATCCTCTGTTCGAGCAGGTTGGCGTCGATTATCCGGCCGGAAGACCGTGGCTCTTGTACGCAGTTTCTACGGTCTGCTCAGCCGAAGCTCCGGTGCACGTGCCGAATTCTCGTTAGCCGAATCGCTCTGCAAAACCCGACGCAGGCCAAGGCCGCTCGCCGGCGGCGACGGCGGCGGCGATGATGGGGATGATGTTATCCGTAGGTAACGATTTATAGTGTGTGTGTGTGTGTGTGTGTGTGTGTGTGTGTGTGTGTGTGTGTGTGTGTGTGTGTGTGTGTGTGTGTGTGTG